AACCAAGTCGTCCTCTCAACCTTCCGGTCACTCCAAAGCCTGTCGTCCCAACTAAACCCATAACTTGTCAACAGGACACATCGGTCCAAATGACACAACAAGACTCCTCTGAATTCATAGAAGAGGACTCAGATACGGAGGCATCTGAGGCTCATACCTCTCCTGACCATAAATCCCCCAACCAGGATGTCGCTGACGACTTATCCGTATCCCCATCTGACAACCTTACGTCATACACAGATTTGGTGAAAAGAATGGCCCACTCTTTAGCCCTCTCTGTTGTCCAGCAACATCCGCAGGCAACAGATGCGGTTTATGATATAGTTCAGCTTAATACCTCTTCCACCTTGGCATTGCCTATGTCTGCAAGCGGCGAAGACACCATGGCTAAAAACTTCGTCTGCCCCTGTGGCCACGAGACGACTGGACCACATGTACAGGGTCCAAGAGGCAGATGCCGAATTCCTCTTCTCGCACCCTCAGCCTAACTCGATGGTGATAACATCTTCCTCCAAATCCAAGAGGACTCATTCCGCACCTTCTGACAAGGAAGGTAAGAAATTAGATGTCTTTGGCAGGAGCTTCTACTCCACGGGAGCGTTAGGAGTCAAGGCCACTAATTACCTGGCCTGTATGAACCGATATCAATATACTCTCTATGAACGGTTCTCAGAACTTCTCAGCCACCTCCCAGACGACAAACTTCAGGCAGCCAGAGTCATACAAAAAGAAGGCATGGTGTTGACAAAACAACAGCTCAACACTACTAAGCTTGTCCTCGAGGAGTCTTCAAGAACTATGGCCTCTACAATAGCTCTCAGGAGACATTCCTGGCTCCACAGCACTACTCTGCCAATAGATACCAGATCTTATGTGGAAGACCTTCCCTTCAATGGCCTGGGGCTTTTCGATGCCACTACGGATTCTACTCTACAGGAGTTAGATAAAAGCATAAAGGCGTCTCAAGCTTTAGGAGTCTCATCCTCTGCAAGACAACTATACCGTCCATGCACCTGGTCGAGATCCTGGCAGAGGCGTACCCCAACTCATCAATCTCCAGAGACACGATGGAGACCAAGAACGTCTTTGGGAGGCCAAAAGCCCGCCTTTCAGAAACCAAAATTCGATCCCGGACAACAAGCTTCCCGCACCAAACAATCCAAACCCTCCAAACAGGGTTTTTGACTTCCCTGTCACCGAGTCAGCTCAAACCCGTCTGTCACCCTTTCTTCAAAATTGGCGTCACATCACCTCGGACGAGTGGGTACTGTCCATATTGTCCCGAGGCTACAAAATTCAGTTCCACCAGAACCCCAATACCCCTGTCGTCGTCTCCATGCCCCCTTCCCCACCTCTCCTCGAGGAGGTGTCCGTCCTTCTGCAGAAGGGAGCCATCGAACATGTACCACCACACCTCCAAGGGACGGGATTTTATTCCCGATACTTCACAGTCCCGAAGAGAGATGGAGGCGTTCGACCCATATTAGATCTAAGGGAACTGAATCATTTTGTGACCTACCACCGCTTCCGCATGGTGTCCCTACAACAGATCATGCCATTGCTTCGCAGACATCTGGATGGCCACTCTCAACCTCCGAGATGCATATTTCCACCTTACTATCCACCCCTTCCACCGCCAATACCTACACTTTGCGATTGGTCAACAGCAATGCGATCTGAAGAGAAACCAGCTCTACCAGTATACGGCCCTTCCATTCGGCCTGTCCAGCGCCCCAAGGGTCTTCACAAAGACTATGATTGTGGTTGCAGCTTTCCTCCGTCTCCGGGGTATCTCCATCTACCCATATATAGACGATTGGCTTCTGGTAGCACCTTCCA